CCCGCGACCCGACCACGGATAGGTGGAAGAAAATAAATGGATGGATGGATGGATGGATGGATGGACGGATGATAAAACACCCAAATTATCAACCTTATTTTATTTCCTTTGTAATGTTTTTTATGACTTCCAGGCAGGTTCAAGGTTAAAGTTTGACAACATGAGCAGGTTTTGAACAGACACGAACAGACAGAAGTCCTTTCTGTTTAGTTATCCAGTGAAGACAGTTTAAAAACTGGACAACTTAATTCTAAAATGAGTTTTAATCAAATAGAAAGAGTGTTTCTGTGTAATCAATACCCTGTGACGGGAGGAGTTTATAAACCCCACTGACTGCAGACACACAGCTGTAAATTACTCCTGCCGTAACTCGCCACCCTGAGAGGAAGTGATTGGAAAAATCCAATTTCATTGTGTCACCAGCGTTCAGGAACGGAGGGAATGAAGCGTGTGTGTGTTTCTCAGAGCGAGGATCGAAGTCGTTTTGCCGCAGCGTAAACAAACGAAGGGAGAGATTTCATACGTCTGAAGCCATTTTCTCCCGTCAGTCCATCGTTTTTGCGCCTCACCTTGGCCAGCGGTCTGACTGATCGTAGGCAGAGGCTTCTGTTTCTGTAGCGATGGCTGTGGACTCCATCTTTGTGCACGTCGATGCTTGAGGGGATGTTTGGTGGAGTCAGCAGCAGCTTCTTTAACTGTGGGAGAAAAACATGTTCAGAAGATCAGAGCTTCCTCTGGTTCCAGCTGTGGAGTACTGGTACAGAACATGCCAGCATTTGATTGGCAGACGACACGTTAAAGGAGCGTGGAGGTCGGAGTTTAATTTAAAATGGTCGAAACAGCGATGTTTCACAAGATTAGCTCATGATGTGTGTTGAGGATGACTCTTAGCTACTAAACCAAATGTTTGTTCAATATCTGTGAAACTGAGTGAGTTAGAGATTTGGTTTTGGTACAGTTCCTTATCTAACACTTACAGAGGTAATTTTGTTTTTTATTATTCAAACACAAACGCAGTTTCAATCTAAAAAATTATTTAAACCAAAAAC